ATTATGTAGAACAGATAATAAACTATGTACGATTGCAGTAACTAGTGACATGGTCCTCAGACAAATAGAGAAACTAAAACCTAACAAATCCCCAGGCCCTGATGAACTGTTTGCAAGGGTGTTAAAGGAATGTAAAGAGGAACTTATCATACCTTTGGCTAATCTTTTTAACATATCACTACAAACTGGCATAGTTCCTGATAAGTGGAAAATGGCAAATGAATACCTATTTACAAGACAGGTGACAGGTCCTTGGCTTCGAACTACAGACCAATAAGCCTTACCTCCATAGTAGGAAAATTTATGGAATCAATAATTGCCGAAGCAATTCGTAGCCATCTTGATAGGCACAAATTGATTAATGAATCTCAACATGGTTTTACAAAGGGGCGTTCCTGTCTTACGAATTTACTAACTTTTTTCACTAAGGTGTTTGAGGAGGTAGATCATGGTAATGAATATATTGTGTATATGGACTTCAGTAATACTTCGATAGAGTTCCACACCAGAGGCTATTGAGGAAACTTAAGGCACACGGAATAGGAGTATATTTTTTTCCTGGGTAGAGGCATGGCTGACAAATAGACAGCAGAGTTTGCATAAATGTGGAGAAATCAGAATGGGGGCACGTCACAAGCGGTGTTCCTCAGGGGGTCAGTGTTGGGCCCGTGTTGTTCACAATTTACATAAACGACATAGAATGAGGGAATAAATAGTGACTTAAGCAAATTTGCAGATGACACCAAAATAGGCCGTCCAATTCATTCTAATGAGGACACTAGAGCACCCAGGATGATTTGAATAGACTGATGCAATGGTCGGAGAAGTGGCAGATGCAGTTTAATATTGACAAATCAAATCAATCATATCAAGTTTATTCTCTATAAGGGTTACAATGTGGGTTTATAGGATTTGGATATTGTGTGGTTTACATGTTATAAAATACTAATTAGAGAGGGGGACACTAGGACACCTAGCATGGCTAGCATTTCGGGCAGACTTAGATTAATTCTTAACATTAAATCCTTACAGATTATGGTATTATAGTTAGGTGACTACATTATAATTGGTGAGTTTAGCATGTGAAGCTTTTGTTTGGCACATTACAAAGTGTCTATATTGGAGTGTCATAGCAAACTTATCACTAGTTAGAATTCATTATTTTAGATTAAGATTAGCATTTCTGTGTTTATAGTTCAGTGGGTGAGTGAGTGTAATTGTGAACCACCAGGTGGTTATCATGTAGTTAGTTGTCGGGGTGTATCAGGGATAAGATGTTTTCTAACTGTAGTTTTGAAAGTGATGATGTGGTCTGCAGTTCTAGAGTTATTCAGGTAGGGTGTTCCAGATTTTGGTCCTTTGAAATACTTGAATTTTTTGTAAAGGTTCAGTCGGATATGGGAATGTCATATGAGGTGTTTTGTTGTTGGTGTTATGCCTGTTGATCCTGTCAATATCAAGAAAGCTTTAATCCATAGGTTAATATTTAGGAATTTTATAGGTCCTGTAGATATGATTGCCAGTATTAATGTGGATGTTCTGAACAGGAGTAAGTTTAGATTATGAAGAGTGGGGGGTGGTGGGTTGCCAGGATGGGAATTTAGTGATTAATTCTTACTGCGTGACTTTTTGTTGGGTTTTATTATTGGCTTTAGGTGTGGTTAGTTGCAGTATTTGAACTCCCAAGCACAGATTATCATAGATAGGTACTGGATATATAATGTAATGGTTATAGTGTGAGAAGGCAGTTTTGCGGCACGTGAGTATTTCCCATCTTGGAGAGGATCCCCACCGTTTTGGATACTTTTTTTTGTTGTGTTGGATATGGATGCTGAAATTTAGGTTGTTGTCGAGGTATACGCCAAGGAATTTGCCCTCATTATGTCTGGCAATTAGAGTGTTGTTGATCTTAATGTTAAGTTGCACAACACCTGCTCTGCTACCAAACATAATATATGAGTATTTGTCAGTGTTAAGTGTAAGTTTATTGGCTGTCATCCAAGTCGATATTTTGAGCAGTTCCTCGTTAACAATGGTGTTGAGTGTGGCAAGATTAGGGTGGGAGATGACATAAGTCGTGTCGTCAGCAAAGAGAATGGGTTTCAGGTGTTAGGGATACGTTTGAAGATCGTTGATGTAAATGACGAAGAGCCAAGGGTCCAAGGACACTTCCCTGCGGAACTCCATTATCAAGTGGCCGTATAGAGTAGGCTGGTGTCTTTAAATGGTGACACACAGATACCTATTAGAAATGTAGGATTTGAAATACGCAAGCGCATGGCCTCGTATACCATAGTGGTCAAGTTGTGGAGTAGGATGCCGTGGTCACTGTGTCAAACACTTTTCTTAGGTCATAAAAATTCCTAGTCGGATATTCCTTATTTTCCAAGCTGTGTAAACCAG